TTCCTATGAGAATCTAATGCCTGATGATCTGAGGTAGAGTTGAGGCAGTGATGCTAGCACTGGGGGCGGCTACTAATACAGATGACACTGCTCACTTGCCTGCCTCTCACCTCCTGCTTTGTGGCCTGGTTCCTAACAGGCCATGGACAGGTACCGGTCCGAGGCCTGGGGGTTGGGGACCTGTTCCTGAATTAGCAAAAGGAGTAAATTTTTTTTTTAAAAAAGACCCAATTATGCTACCCTTAGCTCTTTGATACAGCAATTTGGGAAAAGAGCTAGACTATATTGGGTGCATATGATGTGCCAAGTTCTGAACATAGGTTTTGTGTCTCAATATAGCCTTACCTGGTACCTCTGATGACTCCAGAAAGATTAGTGAGAAGATGAGGGGGTCAGGATGGGGGAACCTTACCCTTTTCCTGGGAAATAGATGTGCCAAGAACTTGAACTGCAGAGATAGATCAGACTGGCGACATGTTCTTGCCTTTTCAGGATGTGTGATTTTAAGCAAGTTAGTCAATATCTCCAAGGCTCAGTTTCTTCTCCTGTAAAATGGGAATGATGTTTATAGATAGTGTATTTTAGTGGGGCTATATTGCCCCCAAAGTAGTAACATGGATTCTTGGGGAAAAGGCAAAAATTGTACTTCTGTGTGTGTGTGTAAAGTACAGATATACATACAGATATGCAGTATACCTGTGACATTAAAATTTCATGAGAGTTGTGGCAATTAGGCAAAAATACCTAAAAAGACATGGATGGGGGAGTGTGGCTAAAAAAAGTTGGGAAATGCTGCTGTAGGTTAGAATTTCCATGAGGTTAAAAGGAAAGGCTGAATGTATACAGTCCTTGGCACAGAGACTGGCACTCAGACACCACTCAGTAAGTGGTAGACATTGTTACTATTATTTTTCAAAATATTCGTTCACTCAACATGCACACATGGATCCTAACTATGCTTCAGGGCTATGTGAAGCATTATTGGGGTCATGAAGAAAGATAAACCACCACCTCTGGCTTTCCTACGAGCTAGGCCAAAGCTAAGTATGGGAGGCTAAGTGCTATCCTGAATGGATGCACTCAGGACCTGGGGAACTAAGAGAAGACCATGGTTAAGTCCTTCCTTTCCTACTCGTTTCCATTGCTGTGCTCAACTAAGATAAGAGGTGACTAGGGGCCTTAATTCTAAATTCTAGCCTCGCCTGTAGTTTCTCCTGCTCCCGCAATGGAATGGGAACCCCAATCCATCACCACTAGAGCATCGTTTTAGCCCTGGGGAGTATTTTAGTTAAGTGGAATTATTATTGACAACCTCCTGTGTGGAAAAGCATTCTGTTTGTTGCTGGAGATGTAGAGATGAATAAAAGAACAAGATATAATTTCTGCTTTTGATTCTAGTGGGAAAAATAGATACGCCAAGCAGACATATTGATGTAACATGATGCAGAAGGCCCTATGTGCAGGAAACTCTGAGACCACAAAGAGGGTGTTTGGAAAAGTTGCCTGAGCTGAATCTTAAAGAATGACTAACACTTAACAGGATGAAGGAGGTGGGAAGCACCTTCTGCACAGAGGGAGCAATATGAGCAAAGGAATGGGGCAGAACAGTAAGTGTATGGAAGCACAGGTATGGGCATGTGTGAGGTATAGAATGAAGAAAGAGGCCAGAGGGGAGGCCAATGAGCAGTCCAGACATGGAGGACCTTGAGTGCTGGCATCATTTTGCAATAGGGATCCATACTTGTATGAGACTCAGATGGAGGCAAGTCAATTTCGTAGTTGCAGTGGAAGAATCCAACCTTTCTTCAAGGAATAAGTCTTTATATGGTCTTCCAGATCCCTCATTGTCTAGGCCCAGTTTATCTCCATGCTCTCTTCCTTGTTTTCTCCCTTGGTCTCTGCTCCCACCTCACTGGCTTATTGCCAGTTCCCTGAATGCCACAGGACCTTTGCACATTTTATGATCCTCTTTCTGGAATAGGTTCCTTACTACTTATAAAGGTTTTAAATTAATGTCTGTAACCCAAGCATCTAGCTAATGTAGGCTCTCAGTAAATATTTGGGGAAGAAAAGAAAGAGGAGAGGAACAATAGATGGAAGAAAAGAAAAGGAAGGGAGGGAGGGAGGGAGGGAGGGAGGAAGGAAGGAAGGAAGGAAGGAAGGAAGGAAGGAAGGAAGGAAGGAAGGATTGGTTTTTCCTCACTGTTTATAGTTGGTGTTTCCTCACTGTTTAATTTTACTAAGAAGAAGGAAGGAAGGAAGGGAGGGAGGGAGGGAGGGAGGGAGGAATGGGAAGGAAAGGAATTAGCTATGAAACTAGAATCCCTACAGACTCTTGTATGCTTTCGCATGCCCCCATCCCACCTCAGCTGAGATTGCCTTCTTTTACCCTGTCCAGGGGCCAGGTCCTGAATCAACTTGTTGGCAATTCAGGCAACAAGCAGGCCCTGTCATTTGAGTAGTGTGTCTCTAGTTGATGAATGCTAATTGATGATGACAATGAAAGCATCTTTCATGTCTCTCCTTCATAGTTCACTTTCAAAAACTGAAATCAGTCATGTCAGAGGAACTGATCAAGTGTTGAGAACTGCAGACTCCCAAGAGTCAACTTGTGTGTCTATACAAAGATGACCCTAAAGCTGACTTGGCAGCCAAGGACAGCTCTAGAGCCCTAATGCAGTGGGACTTTGAAGTGACACCATGCAATGTACTTCAGGGCTAGGTGGGAACTTGGGAGCAAGACTGAAATGGGTACTCACATCATTATATTCAGGTTCTGATGGGATTTCAGGAGGGATGTATTCTATGTGGGGAATTGTCTATATTGAGATCCTGTAGTGGTGAAAAGCAAAGGGACCCAAGATCAACTTTTGGTTTTATTGTTTGCATACTGCATGTGTTGGGCACCTCCTTTACCTTCTCCAAGCTTCAGTTACCTGATCTATAAACTGTGGGAGGAAGGGATCAGAATCGTGCCTCATTCATTGTTGTAAAGATTAAATAAGATAAGGTATGTGAACTGCTTAACACTGAGCCTGGCATGTTGAAAGTGTTCAGTTGGTGTTAGCCATTATTATTATCAGCTAATATGATTATTACTACCATAAAAATTATCTTCCCAGAAAAGAAAGATCAGCTTGGTTCATCAGAAATTTATATGACTTTAACTCGGACCTATGTAGATGTCTCAAAAGGCACATAAGAAACTTCCTAGTAGCAATATTTTGAGAGACTCAAACTAGGAATAGCCCAGATGCCCATCAACAGTAAAATGGATAAATAAACTCAGCATAGCCACACACTGGAATACCATGTAGCGATTAGGATAATAAACAGCTATGCCTCGCAGTCACATAAACAAATTTTACAAACATAATGTTGAGTGAAAGAAGCCAGACACAAAACAGCACACTCTATTATTCCATTTGAATGAAGTGCAAATACAGGTCAAACTAATCTATGGTATTAGAAGTTAGGATAGTACAGCCTCTGGAGAGGAATGTAGGGATTTTACTCAGGAAGGGAGAGGAAGAGAGGAACTGGTAATATTTTGTGTCTACGTCTGGCCACTGGGTACATAAGTGTGCCCTCTTTGTAAAAATTCATCGAGTTGTGCATTCTGATTTATGTACTTTTCTATATCTATTCTCTGATTCGATTAAGGTTTACTAACAAATCTGTTCTGCAGAGAGCTAAGAAAACAAAAGTAGGGGGAGGAAGAATGCAAGTAGTACAATTCTATGCTTAACCCCAAGGGTCCTGGAAGTCTGCCGAGGAAGGCAGTCAGGTAGACGTGTGCACAGACGATGGACTGTGGTGCCTTTGGTAATATGTGTACCAGATACAGACACACCACAGAAGGGAGGGTGATGGGCTGTCACAACTGCTCCTTGTGGCAATGCCCCTGCACTCCATGTGGTTCCTCCAGGACAGCTGCTTTTCCCTATTCCTTCTTACATGTAACTTGGCCATTCAACTATAGAGATTTATGCTCACATCTATCTAGCTACTGCCTTGATCTAGGCCTGACATCATTGGTAGAACACTGAACTAACTGGTTTTCCTGGCCTCTCTTCTTCCCTTCTCCAAACCACTCTCTAGAACCCAGAGTTACTAAATTAGAATCTTTGGATTGGGTCCTCAGGATTTTTAAAAAGCTCCCGTGTGATCCTGATGCATGTAACCTGTGGGAAGCATTGTTCTACACTGGAACCAGAACACACGGCTGACCTGACCCTCTCAACACTAAAAATAGTTCAAGGCTACTGGGCAGCAGCCTAACTTAGTGGTATTTCCCAATTTGTCTCCAAAGGACATTTTCAGCTTCATCTCCAGTCATTCCCTTGTCATCCCCATGTCTTTGTCCTATTTCAAATTTGCCTCTGATCTAAGTGCACCAAGGTAGTTCTCTTTCTGAGTTTGTTTTGTTATTTCACTACCACTCCCATGCCTTTGAATAACCAAGAATGCCCTCCACCTTCCCAGGGGCCTTCTAATCTCCCACACATCTTCAAGACCCAGCTCAAATATTGTGTCCATGAAGCTGTCCCTCAAGGCTCCTGAGCCATCTAGTTCTGCCACATTACCTCATACCTACAGGATTAGATCACATCCCTAAAAATCACTGTGTCATATATGACTGTTCACTTCACCCACTACACTCAAGGGCACGAACATGGTCCTATTTCTCTGCATCCTCATTGCTTAGCACTTGCCTGGGACATGGGAGGTTATCAAGGACAGGGCTTGATGGAGTGAAGTCCTTTAGCATGATCAAAGTCACAGGAGTACAGGGGGTGCTATGGGTTAAGGGGAAGCATTTGTGGATGTGGGATGAGGAGTGATAATCCACATTGATTGGTCAGAGATATATGCGCAACTTCCTCACACT